TCCAGAGACGGCAGTGAGAGGCGCAGGCGGTGATTCCACGGGGGAGCTCCTGCCAAGTGGTCCTGGCGAGGCTCTGGGAAGGGGTCAGAGGGGATGGGCCAGTGCCCGAGACCCTCCGCATCGCCAGCGCCGGGGGTCCCAGGTTTGCACAGCCCCCAGTATCTGGGCTGGCCGTGCCCCGGCTCCGAGCGCACAGAGACGGAAATCCCCGGCGGGAGGAGGCGTGGAGAGAGAAAGGAGAACGGCCCCCGGCGGGCAGCTGCCGGCTTGGCTTAGCTCAGCTCGGCTCAGCTCGGCTCAGCTCCGCACGATGAAGCCGCGAGGGTGAGTAGTGACCCGGAGCCGCGGAAAAAGGGGACCTGCCGCCCCCCTCATTCATCGCTGGGGCACGGGGGGAACTCCCCGGCTGGCTCCGGGACAGGGATGCGCATCCCCCTTTTAAGGAAAGCCGAGCTTCGCTGCTGCAGCGGCCGGGGAAAGCGCTGGCGCGGGTGGGCTGCTTGGCTGGAATCAGGGGCGAGGGGAACCCTCCTGATCCCTGGACAGCGGTTGCGACGATAAAGGCTCCCGGAGGCAGCTCCCGTCGGCAGCTCCCGTCCGCCGGCGGGTCCCGCAGCGCTCCCGGTTCTCGGAGCCGCGGGACCGGAGCCGAGGGGATGAGGATGTTCCCAGAACCTCCTCCCCCCATCAGCCGGGCTGGAACCCCTTGTCTCTCCGCGTTCGAGAGCTACAGGCAATTAGCGGGCATTTTACGGAGATTTTTAGCCGAAAGTGAACGATGGGAGATGACTCAGCAGGGTTTTTATTGCCCAGGTTGGCGTTTCTTTAGGGCAAGTGTTAGAAAAGCTCCGCAGGTAACTTATTTGGAGCACCTGTTGATGCGAGAAGAGCCGTGTCGCTACAAGGGTAGGGGGTAAAGTGGATCTCAAAGGGGTAAAGTGGATCTCAAAGGGGTAAAGTGGCTCTCACATGGTTGTTGTAACTGAAAGCATCGGGACATCTTTTGCCTGGCAGGGTTGTGCCAGAGCAGCAACCTTCCATGGCTCTAAGATGAGCAGTGATGGAAAAAATGCTGGTAGGAAGAATGATCTCATCAAATAAGAATGTATGAAAAGGGAACTGCAACTTTCTCCTGTTTCATATGGCATTTTAAAATAATTTGCAGAAGAGGGAAGGTGTGGGAAAGACTTGAGAAAGAAAAAAAAATTAAAGTTAAAATATCTTTTAAAAATCAGAGAGAACCTAAGAAACTTACTGGAGCTCACTGCTAGTGTGGGAGACACAGGAGCTGAGTGTACACAGAGGACAAAACAGACGTTTTGCTGCAGGCAAGAGCATTTCTCCCTTTTTCCAACAGAAGCTGGGAATTAATGCTATTCCAGAGGAACACAGTGGGTTGACACTGCCCCCACACAACCACAGCTGCAACCTCCTCCAAGAGGATGAGATCTGTCCAATCTTGGCTGTGCATCATTTGTTAAAATAAGAAATCAGGATCTGCTTTGTGTACATACATATGAGAATCAGTTCTGGCTGACTATTTGAATGTTTGTTGGTATTAGCAAAAGCCTACCATGGGAAATTCCCTGAGGAGTCCCTTAAAGATAAGTCAGTTATTTTTTGTATTTCATTCAAATGAGTTGCTATATCCATAGTCTCTATTTGGGTGGGGATTGATAAAACAAACACAGGATTAAGAAAGATTAAAGACTACATTAAACTGAAGTTATCAAGACAGATCTCTAGAAGCCTGGCACAAAAGTGATGACTCCTGCACTGTATAAAAATACAACAGGAATACAATACAAAGCCATGTGCAAAAGCCACAAAAAGTCACTGACAGAGACAGGACAGAGCAGAGCTGCCTCTCTGGAATGTTTAGGTACAATTACTTAGGAGAGTTCCTTTAAGCCTGATGGCAGATTCACTAAAATAAGTAATAGAGCAGAAATGTTCTACACTGGTCATCCACTTAAACATTTGAAACCTCATCTATGAAACCATTTCAAAGGACACAGAAAAGAAAAATGAAGTGTTTCCTTCATATAAAAGAAATACAGTTCAGAGTGCTTCTCCCCAAAACTTTCTCCGTCTCAGTCTCTGGGGATGGGGCTTCAAGTGGAGGTAGATTTTGTGTCAGGAATGTTCTGTGCTTTCTCTGTAGGAAGCCAAATATATTTGGGGGGATTATAACTTTGGGGGAGGCAGGTGAGAATTAGAGACACTCCTCCACAGCAGAGGAGCCCCAAGTTGTGCCCAGGGAAGCTGGTAGGAGTAAAGCTGGGCAGAAGCGATACTGTGCCTGGGAAGTGGAGTATGAATTCCTATGCTTGGCTGGACAAAGGAGCAGAAGTTGTGGGGAAAGGGCAGAAAGCTTGGAAGAGAGAGAGAAGGGATGTTGTAAAGCATAGCTGATGGGGAAAAGCAAGGGGGGAAATGGCTGCTTCGGGAGTGATCTTAGGGCTTGGAGGGAGGAGGGTCAAGGTTGGGAGGGAAGGCAGTGAGTGATCTGTGTGGGAGATCCTGGAACTTGATCCTGGCTGGACATGGACTGCTGGAGACAGCTCTACCCATTGCCCCCAGCCCTTGGCTCAGTGTTGGACCTGGCTGAGGGTTGAGAACAACTGAGGAAGGGAGCTGTACCCAAGTAGTGTGGCCTCACAGTCCTGCTTGCTTGCAAGAGTGAGCTGGGTAAACCAGTAACAAGACAGTGCTCGTGTCCCTCTGCCCATCAGCTCAGCTTTGCAACCTTATTGCACCTGGGGCAATATCAAGGTGGGCAACTGCAGCCAGAAAAGTCTCATTGCAAAACCTTTCCAGCATTCCAAAACCTTTCCTTTCCCTTCCCGCACCACTCTGGAGAAAGGAGAGCACAATGTGTAACTAGGCATGGTGGTGACAGGCTACTTTAAAGTAACTCCTAAGAAAGTGCTGTGCATTTATCTTCCTTAAAGCCTTGTGTGATGACAGTTAAGTCACTTGGACCTTGTAGACAGGTTAAACTGGGTTTTCCTATAGCATCCATCTCCTATAACACCCTGGGGTAACTCCTGCATAAATTTGCCCCTCCTGAGTAATCAAACACACCAAATTCTTTCCAGCAAAACCTTTGCACTCCACTCCAGTGCTCTCCACTATCAGCACGCTTCCTGTTTACACATTTTTACTGAGTGCACAAACGGGTGGGCAATGTGGTCAGCTGCTCTTTGACCTTTACCCAGATAAAACCATAACTCCCTGAGTTTCAGCAAAAGTATGAAAAACCTGAGTTTCGACCTGGGCATCCACTGTCCTTCCCAGTGACCCAGATAGCCTCCAGGGCCTGTTTATGCATCTTTGTCCCATTTGTCAATCCAGTTTGTTTTTCACAAAAGAGACAGGCACAACACCAGCTTCATGCCCTCTGCTCTGATTCCAATATTAGTGCATTTTGCTGCTATTCATGGCCTTGGTCACCTACCCACAGTTATGAACAGAAGTTTTGCAGCTGTCAAAAATGCAAATACTTAATACTGCTACACAGTAGCAGTACCTAATTTACCTACTTCTGCCACTGTACTAAACCAATCAATATTGGGTTTATTGCTTATTTACACAAGAGAGACTCTAAAGTCAATCATGTAACGCTCTTGTTTGCTTTTATTTTTAGTTATGGATTTCTGTTACTGCTCCTTCATCTCCTGAGAGCTGGTAAGTGCAGAACACTTCAGTTAAAAACTGAGCTTCCCTCCCTTTATTGTGTTTATTATGTTTGGCCAAATACACAAAGCAGTTGTAAAATGTACAATATAATCATCTGCCTGTTTTCAGCAAGGTACTTAAGAATTCCTCAGTGTGAAATGTTTCTCTGACATGCATCAGGGAAAGAAGAAACAATCGATTTTTATCAGTTTCACTGCAGAGAACAGCAAGGGACCTTATGGATGCCCTCGCTCAGATTGCTTTGCTTGCTTCAGAGATATCCCTGCTTACTTATCTCTGCCAACAAAAGGCCTTCAAAGTGGACTAATAAGGGCTGTTGATAAGCAGATCTAATGTGCCTGGATACTCGTGACTAGAATTATACATCACAGTGTCCAGCAGCCAATAGTAGTAAGTCTTTTACTACAGTTCCAAAATATCCCTTGCAAAACAAAGGGATATTTGTAAGCAACATCACCTGGTGATATTTAAATGTTTTTAGAGTTGTCTCTCCTCAGTTCTTGCTTAATCACTGAGAAGGATCTCAAAAAAATCATCAAGGAAACTCCCTGGCCCCAGCATCAAGACAAACTGTACCAGCTTCAGTCTCAGTAGATGCCAGCTGGTCTGTTCTTGCAGAACGCCAGTGGTGGAGGTTGCCTCATCTTCCCTGGGTGTCACTTCTCCTGCTATTGAAGGGGGTTTCCCGAAGTCTGAGCCACAGCATCTGTGTTGCAGTTCAAGCCTGCAACTTCTTGTCTGACTTCTTGGAGGATAAGGGCCTGGAAAACATCCCACCTTCCTCCCTGTAATCTGCTTCATCAGTGTTTTAAAGCCAAGGTGCCCGACTCAGATGTGTAAATGAGCTATTTCTGAGTTCAGTGCACCCTCACAAACACAGGTCCCCCTTTAATATTGATGCCTCCCTCCCACCTCACCATGCCCTGTTTCCGCATTTCCAAACCTTCAGTCCTGTCATCTTTCTTTCCCAAATCATCCACACACATAATCCCTTCCCCCAGATGTAATCTCTCCCATTCAACCCCATGCCTGACCCTCTCTCACCCCCCTGCCTGACACTTACAACATATACACTGCTTTGGTGTCAGCAACCAGTTGCACCAAGGAGGTGTTGGCTGCTGGGGTGAAGAAGTGGTGCATCCTCAGCAGGGAAGCTGTGGGCAGAGCTGCCCTGGCCCTCTTGGTGTCACTGTGCTTTCTGCATCACTTGTCAGTCAGGTCACACCTCCCCCTTGCTCACCAGGAGGAGAGGCTGCCTTTCTCCAGTCTGGAAGGCAGAAAAAGCGATCTGAAAGCCAAATACGGTCCTGACCTACCTCAAGTGACCCTTAAGTTTTAAATGTCTAATGGATGTGTCACTGGAGTCATCTGGCCAGGCTGGTTTGCCATCTGTATGTGTTTATTGAGAGGGTGTAGCAATTAAATGTGATTTCTATGGCATGCCTGCTTTGAGAAACACTGTTTTTAGTCCCCTTCTTAATTTTTTGGGTCTCAAAATAATGGTAGCACTCTTTTTCTCATCAGTGTTTTCCCTTCTCGTGATTTACCTCATGTTACTTGGAATTTTTCTTAATTAAAAAAAAAAAACAAGTGATTATTAAAGCATTAAGGCTTGAATATGTGTCTGCAGTCAGTGGGCAAAGTGCAACATGTGGATATCCATGGGACTGGGAACGCTTAAGACTGGTTGGTCCTCAGAGAAATGGTCCCTTTGGACAATATACAGAAAAATGGACATGGAGAGAATTAGCCACTGGCAAGTCATGTGGTAGGAATGACTATGAAATGAGCACACACACACCTGTTATAAATACTAATAGTGGAGTCTGTATGTGGTAGAATGTACTTGAAAATAATGACCCTTTTTCCACATAACCTCCCTTATTTCTCTCTCTCTTTTGATCCTGCAGTTATTGCACTAGAGAAGAAGGACGTCATCAGTAAACTCGGAGACAACGCTACACTGAGTTGCATTTATAACAAAAGAGACTTGCAATTAAAAAATCTACGGGTATATTGGCAAATCGCCGATCAAGTGAAGTGTTCAGTTGTGCATGCACTGGTCTCTGGTCGAGACAACTACAGTAATCAGTGTATTCACTTTAAAAACAGGACTCAGTTATTCTGGGACAGATTGGAAAACGGTGATTTTTCTCTACTACTACTCAATGTCAGCCAGAGTGATAAACATACATACAAATGTATAGTACAGGAGAAAAAAGAATTTCCCAAAGTGGTTCACCAGGCAGAAGTGGTTCTCAGTTTAGCAGGTAAGAACTTGAGTCACTTACACATATTTGCCCAAATTCTCATCTCAGTTTTTCAAATTCATGCTATTTCAATATTATATTTAAGCACACCCTTGGAAACACACTTCAGCCCTTTGCTGAAATGATGTGTGCTTAACTTAAATATTATAGACAGGGAATCTAAACCTGGGAGAATACCTGTAACAACTGTTTACCCAGTGTGTGTTTCTTTTCATCTTGTTTTTCATTAATATTAAGACTCTTGCAGGTGACTGGGTGACAGCAGCTTAAGAAGTTGCTTTCTTCCTCTGGGTTTGGCTTTAGCTTTCTGCCCTTCCAGTAATTCTCAGCTCTCCGGGCTGAGAGAGCCTGCAGGTGTTTCCCTTTCAAGTTACGAAGGTCGTGTGAAACCCAGAAGTTCTGCTTCAGAGCCCACGTCAGAATTTTGTCTTCTCAATATGTTTCAAAATATCAACGACTCTTTCTTCTTCCCTTGCTCTCCAGCTAGTTACAGCCAACCAGTACTCAGTGGACCAATAAGAAACAGTACTGGAGAGGAGGTGACTTTCAGCTGCAGGTCTGGCAATGGATACCCAAAGCCCAATGTTTATTGGATAAATAAAATGAACAACAGTCTCCTGAACGCATCAACGCTGGAGATCATCTCCCACGCCGACGGCACCTACAGTGTTTTCAGCACCCTGACAGTGAAAGCCACTTCCAACATGCAAATAGAGTGCTCCATAGAAAATGAAATGCTGCAGGAAAATCTATCAGCCAACTGTAAGTCCCTTCACGCTGCTCCATGTTTTCTAGATAGCAGGAACATCACCCAGTGCGTCTCTGTCTGTAGATACACACTAATAAGGCCTATGTGTTAATTCAGTAATTCCAAGAGGTGCTGAGAAAAGCTCAGGTTTTGTTTCAAGCTAATTATGCCTAGCCATGCATTTTATGTTTACTTCTTTCACACTGAAGTGAATACCCCATGAAGTGTATGATGACAACAGCTCTGAGGAGCTCTTGCATGCCGGGCAGTCACTGTGCTTTACACTTTGGTTCCTTGGGAACATGCTGACTTGGGGAATTAAGTTATTTTTCAAGGGCCACCATACAGCAGATCCATGATTTCTGACCGCCCACCCAACTGCTTTGCAGCTCTCATATTTACTTTTTACTCTGCCTAGTTTCAAAGTTCAGTTTTCAGTCTCCAAAACTCAATTCATTACAGTGCACTATTTAAAGTAGGCTGGCAGAAATGTGGGTAATGTTAGCTGAATAGAACAATACACCTAATAGCACAAGTATAATATGCTATTTATTGCTGATGTGAGTGATCAATAGTAAAAACAAGTATTTAGCACTCAACTCTTCACAAAATCAGAAAGCTATTAAAAAGAAAAAGAAAAAGAAAGCTATGAAGTTAGAGCTATAGTACCACTGCTGGAGTTCATTATTTCAAACAAAACTGTGTAGAGAAGCTGACTGGAGTGGGAAGGCTTACCTGGAGGTGGCTCTTTGATCTCACTGCAGTTCCTGGTCCTACCTCCAGCTACCCCGTTCTCTCACAGGTTTCTGCACCCCGGTGCAAGGAGGTTGGACTGTTTGCACGGCTGTAGCTGGATACCCACAACTTGTGTGCCTGAACACTCCAAGGAATCACATACTCTGGACTTAACAACCCTGATCCCACAAACATAGACAAACTACATAAACTATTTCCAGGAACAGAAACTGTGCACACGAGCAAAAGTTGCACACTAGAGTGTTTAAATGATAATATACCATACTGTCATCCCAAATTAAAGGAAAACTGAGTAACCTTGTCATTAGTTTCCTAATAGCATTCTGTCATATTGTCTTCTGGGGGAAAAGACCTTCATATTACTATTTTTTGTTTGTTTTTAAAAGCACATCACCACTTGAAATAGTTAAGGGATGCAATTTAAAACCTTCAGTTTGCAGCAGTAGGTGAAGATTCTCCATTAATTTCAGGGAAACAGGTTTTCACTCACTTTTCTGAATACATTCAGATTTACATTATAAATTCTGTATAGATTTATTTTTAACTGAGTTTAAGTACAAGCCCAAACATAAAGTCTCTCAAGGCTGGCAGGAAAGAACAAAAAAGAAGAAGGATGGATGCAGTGTGATGACAGGGAAGAGTAAACTGGTATTGTATTATTAGGCATTATTAGCTGGAGATGTGCCTTGCTCAGAAGAAATCACCAGTATCACAGTGATACAAATAGCACAAATATTTAATCCTTCAGAATTTTTTTATATATGTAAAATTTGGTGAAATATTTGCCTGGTATGAAATGTGAACATTTACCCCTTATTACATCCCCTTTCTATTTTATTCTAGACACCGAGCAGAAGCAAAGCAATGGTTCTAGCACAGAAAACCTAGGAAAAAAAGGAAGACTTGCTCAAGCAGCTGGCATCATTTGCATTGTCATTCTGATAGGCCTTCTAGTTGTTTTAATCTGCTGGCTGTGGAGACGGAGGTCCTCCCATCTGGTGTCCTATACAGGTAATGAGACACTTCATTTGCATGACCAAATATCTTAAGAATTCTTTTTCACTTACAAATATATTTAATGTTATCCATTGTGTCACTGGTAGGTACGACTAAGCTGCCTGCACACAGGGAAATGCACGCTGTAGGAAATCATGCTGTTTTCAAAAATCTGTGTTTTTTCTTTGTGTTATTCTTTATGGTTTTCTGCTCTTGTGCCTGAGCCTCACAGGAGTTAGCTGCTGGATGTGAGAGTAACTCAGACTTTGTGCCTGTTGCAGGCCGTAGTTTTTCAGCTGTGATCTCTGCAGGCTGTTACTGGACAGATGGAAGGGATACTCCTCCATGGAATAGAACTGGGTTCAGCAGCTCTCTCTGCTTAGCACAGTCTGAAGCAGAAATCAGAGCATAATTCAAGCCTGAGAGTTTTAGAGTCACTGGCTGGAAAATTAAGGGTCAGGATCCCACCAGGATCAAGTGGATTTCTACAGAAATATAGCTTGTCTCACTGTCACACATGTACCCTCATGTTGCTGCATGACATCAATGCTTGGCCTAACAGAAGAAAAGGGAGCTCTAAAAGAGGTCTTGTGAACCAGATTGAGTCTGCCAAGCTATCTGAGTACTTACTGTAAGCCACTTTGCACCTGTACAGGAGCTAACACCTGAGAAAAGGGAGCAGGGACAACCAGACTTTTCATGGACAAGGACAATCCTCATTTTCAATCCATGCCCTCTTCCTCCACGCTAGCAAGCCTGGGTGCCTCAGAAAAGAGCAGGAGAAAGCAGGGCAGTTATCTTGTCCAGCATCTGCAGCACCTGTTCTAGAAGTCATGTCCTTCCCTCAGAAACAACCCAAGGTTGCAGGGGTACAGGACTCTGTCCCAAGACATGGAGCAGGGCTATTACCTCATTATTTTATTATCCAAGTCTGTCCTTCCTGAAATAGTAACCTCTATTGTAAGAGTAAGGATTGCATTTTGCTCTTCAAAGAGGATTTAGCACATTGAACCCTCAGCTTTGGTGGATGTTGCTTAATATTAATCTCATTTGGATAAACACTATAGTTATCTACCCTGCATGCTTAAACCTGTGAATTTGTTTCAACAGATGTCCCACCAAATGAATACAAAGAAGGACCCAACCGTAAGTATTAAGAATATATTACTGTATTTGTCTCAAGAGTGACTTAACTTCAAAGCTTTGGTACTCAAGTTTAGCACAAAGCCTTTAGATTAGACTTGCTGGATGTTATAACTCAAGCATGTAAAGTAGGAGCCCTACTTCTTCTGTCAACCCTTTCCTCAAGGTCTGTAAGTGTTGACAAAGGCAACCTGAGAGTCTTAGTTCTCAAAAGTTCCTTCAACAGTCCAGGCCAAAGGACATGACAAATCAACAGGGAACATGGAGCATACAGGTTGAAGCCACCCTCCCTTCTTGTTCTACAACTATGCTAAAGCTTCATTGCCACAAACTTGGAAAATCTATCTTAAATGCTGATTTTCGAGTCTGGACAACACTGACCATTTATCACTTCATATCACTGCAGTGCATATCACCAACTCGTTGTTCCCTGACTTTTTAGGCACGACATCCTAGTAGGTCTTTAACTGGGATACAGGAACATAATTTTCTTTATGTCTATGAACCTGAGCCTTTATACACCCAACTAAAATAAAATACTAAGCACTCTCCCAGAAAAAATTTACACAATTCAGACCTTCAACGTGTTCATATTTTTTACAAGCAATAATGCAATATTGCAGGCCAGCTGGTTTACAAATTCATTTACCACTTATAGTGGGAGAAAAATAAAAATAGGGCAAAAAATGAAGATAGATTTGGAAAAACGAACTCAGAACAGGGGACTTTGAGAGTATAGAGAGGTTGAAATATCTGCCTATGTTATATTTCCTTTGGTAGTTTCTACTTGAGCAAATGACTGTTGTCTGTGTGTCTCTGCAGAACAGGCAGAAAATACTGTGATTCCACCAAAGCTCTAATAGTTAAAGCATAGCTTGCTGTAGCAGATGTTGTGAATGTACCCAATTCATAGTATCAAGCAGAAGTAATATAATCCCATAAATTAAAAAACTTTCTCAGGAACTTCTTTTGTGGTCATGTAAACTGGGTTAATGGTCAGTTATTTTCCAGACCACAGCCTGATCCCCAATATTTGTGTTTGCTAAACAACGAAAGGCATTGCACTGTTTCCAGCAGAGCACAATGTAGAGAGGAGGATGGATTTTCTCCTTAAAACAAAGAGAGTTTCTCATTTTGTTCCTGTGGACTACATTAACATAATATTAACAGTTCATTTAAGGTCAACCTCCTTTACAGACTGATTTATAGAAGGCCCTACTTATACAAGGGCCTTGACTTTGCTCATAAATAGAAAAATCTCTGTGACGTAAGTAAGAGTAAATATTTGTCTTATTTTGAAGGCTGCTGTAGCATGATTTGTGCTACAAAGTAAAGACACTTGCCTTCCAGACACAATCTTTTCCTTGGCATGTCTCTGCATCATTTGTGGAAGAGGAGGTGGGACAGCAGCTTTGGTGGCTCACTGGAATCAGCTGTCCCACCATCTTCTGGGCATCCTAATTTAAGGGCAACTTGGACTAACACCAGAGAAATGAGAATGATCTAGGGACGTGATGGGAGATTGGTTATGTTTGTTTAGGCTGATTAAGGACACAATAAACAACCCTCTTCAGAGCATCCTTAGAGAGAATGGGACAAGTTATTTATTGCGCTAACCCGGCTGACACAGCAATTAAGGTCCAACAGATTTAAACAAAGGAGACTTAGGCTGGATTTTAGGAAGAAATGTGTAATGGTAGTTGAGCACTGAGATAGAGAGTTTGTCCAGGCTGTCAAGTCTCCATCTCTCCCAAGTTGTTGCTATTCTGTTTTGTTTGTTTGTTTGTTTGTTTGTTTTTAACAAAAGAGAAAACCAGTATCTGTCAGAAATTATTTAGTAATACAGCTGGTACTACCCTGGGGAAAAAAGATGGCTCTTGGAGAAACTTCAGCCTAATTCAGTCATCATTTCATACTTTCAAGCAGGTTGTGTGTGGTAGATGGGGAATAAGGCACTGTGGAGGTGCACCCGGGGGGATGCTCTGCCATGCATTTTGCTTTTCAATACTGATGGGAATGTGCTTCTGATGGTTTCACTTTATGAAGAAGGTCAGATTGCTTCATGGGCAGTGGGAATCCCAAATACTGCAAACCAAAAAGGAATTACTGAAACTATCTTTTCTGTTAAAAGGGGGGGAAAAAAGGGTTGGAAACTGTGAGGAAGGCAGGTTGTAAAGAAGAGTAATTCCATCCTGGTGGGGTTAGTCTCTCCAGACACCCATTATAGAGTGGGGCCGAGTGCTCTGGTGAGGAGAAAGTCTGAGCTGGAACAATTCTGAACTGGTCCCTGGAGGGATCCCCTCACTTCCTTAGAGGAGCCTCAGGAAGCCGTTTTCCCTTGACCACAGACAGGATTTGTGCTTCTCATTCTCTGAAGTAGTTTAAAATGAACCCAAGGTGACACTGGTATCCCCTCAAAAGGGAGGGGGATGTTAGCAGGAGTGCCCTTCTTGCATTTGCACAGAGGCACTTCCAGATTGTGGAACAAGGACAGAAAGCCTCCAGTTTCTTGGGTAGCCAGGCAGAGACAGGGCTTCACCCCAGCCAGTTCTCTCTCAGCAGCATGAATACCTCTTTTCCATAGCTTTGTTCCACTGATTACATAGAACAAACAATGCTAGGACATGATTATTTTGTGGAGAGTTTTTTTCTTTTTTCTTTTTTTTTTCCTTTTTTTTTGTTTGCTGAAAAGAAATTGTTCTGTTTTTACAGCTCCTGCCTAAATGGGAAGTCTGCCAACAATTTGGGCAGCTGGAGATGTGTCAAGAGAAGCATCACTCCCTGTCTCAATGGCAGCACTGTTTGTAATACAAGTGACAGATTTCTGCCAAGAGAGATGGCAAAAAAAAAACCAACCAAACCACAAAACCAAAAACAAAACAAAACAAGCTTCTCCAACACAAGGGACAGGAAATCTGCTGGACTGTCATTTCAGCCACTGACTGTGTCCACACAGCAGTTGTGTGACCACTCCAGTTAACCACCTGGGACAGTCCTCTGTGACTGTCAGTGATTTGAGTACCTGCACTGAGGAATGCAGTGAGCCTGGGACTAAACTGCTCTGTGCCAGAGCACTGGAAGTTGGTGGCTGTCCTGTCTCTCATCATCATCTTTGAGGATTTTGCTGGGAGCAGAAACAGCTGCATTTCAGGAGCATGGGAAGTTCTTGCTGTGTCACCTCACCCTGATGATGACTACTGGATGTGAAGAAAGGCAGCTAAAATAAAGAAATAAAACCGAAGGACTCTGCAAAGTGAGAACTGTAACTAACCCTTTCCATGTTTCTCTGTCTACAGTACATCCTTTTCATTGCCTGGTTTCACCAGCTGCATGTTATTGTGTACAGAACTAGGCAGAACACTTTGACCCAGGGCTCCAACACTGATGGGATTAAGCACTGAATGTTTTAACATAAGAGTGCCTTCTTTAAATGCACTTGATAGCAACATTTTGGTTTTTACCAAATATTCCACCAAAAAGGGGATTTTCACTTTTTACAGGAGTCAGAGCATACTGTGCAAAAGAACAGGCTGTGGAATTCTGACCAATTAAAAATAGGGTTTTCTGTTATGTTAATGTTGGGTTACCTGGACTTACCCTTTTCAGGATGAAACAAAAACCACAGTCAAGTTCTGCTTGATTCAACTGAATCTCTATTTAAGTACACTCCTGTGGCTTCAGATCCTCCTTTCAGGGAGGATTTTAAACTGAAGTTTTTAAACTGTTCCTCTGCTTGTGTCTCATCCCTCCACCTTCCCAACAAAAAAAAACAACAAAAAAAAACCCCAAAAAAACCCAAACAAACAAAACAAAAAAAACCCGCAAAAAAACCCCAGAACAAAACAAAACCAAAAAAAGTGCTGTCAGGCTGTTGTCCATGAATGTCCAGAAAGCCAAGAACTGCAGTTTCCTTGTGCCAGTACATGGGCCTTGCTGTTTCAGCCCCCAAGAGAAACCGGCTGCAGCAAACTTTGCTGATGGTATGAGGTTTTGAAGGAGGAGGAATCTATATTGGCTCACTTGCCCATGTGAGACAGTTTCCCCATCTTGTCACAGGGGGATGGAGATTACAATTTTAGACTGAGTTCTGGAAATACTTGGCTTCCCCTGCACTGGTTGCTAGACAAAAATTGTACCATTTTTGTAATAAGTCACAGCCTTGTTTGCCCTTGTTCTGTGTGTTCGAGGCACTCTGGTGTCAATCATGAGTTGGGACATTGATTTTTCATATCAAGATCAGCTTTCAAGTCCCAGCCAAGTGAAAATTTTGTTGTCCTGTTCTCCCATCACGTGGACCCAGAATCATTTGGCAATAGTGCAGCAGTTAGCTTTTGTTGAAGCAATACCCCCAAGGAGGCTCCAAGCTGGATAGCTGTGCTTCTCTCGTGCCCATGAGAGGTGTTAGATATTTTCTGAGTCCAGATCTAGTCTTCAGTGAACCATAAAGGGAACTTGCCTGAAGAAAGCTTGCAGGCACCTTAAAAATGTGAATAACACCCATGCAGATATGCAGGGTAGCCATTTCCTAGTGGTTCAGTAAGAAGTTCTGTGGACCTTTCCTTGCTATCTATCACATGAAGTTGTTTTGTGCAGTCTCTTTGGTGCTGCTGTAACTGACAGAAGCCTTTTTCCTAAACAGTTTTCCAACTTTAATAACTTTTATATGCTACAACTGCAAGAAGCTGTAAGGGTTCAGAGATGTAAGAAATGACCAAGCAGTCACTCCACAATACGTTGTTAAACCAATCTACACTGCTTGGATTTTCTTACCTCTGTGCTGCTTCATGGATACATCTAAATGCAAAAGCCTGTTCTTGCAAAATCTGTGCTTTCAATTGGTTTGGGGTTCCAGCTATTTTTAGAGGGTCCCAGTTGTTTGTTACCATTCAAAGGATGCAGAAGTTTTGTAATAAGAGAGTTTTTGTCTTCACGTGCCATGTTTATATTTTAAATAAAATCCATTCATTCTTCTGGGTGTTTGACTAAATCTACCAGCACGCACACACAAGTCACTCCAAACCATTGCCCTCAACCCAAGTGGCAGTTTTGCTTTCAGCCACATCCCTCAGGGCATACGAGTGCTCCTTCCCAAAGCCCTTAGATGAGGAGACACCTTTGCTTTTTTTGTCTCACACAACAAAATACCTTGAGCAAACTCGGTGAAAGCCATGCAGTAGCCTGAAGGCAGCACTAAGCCCAGGCTGATACATCCATTTCTCACCCAAATTTACAACCCCAAGCAGAGCAGAGGTACAACACTCCCACATCCAGAACTGAAACCAGCTCATTACACCATCCCAGTTCAGTGCTGCACTTGAGCATCAGCATCCCTCTGCTTGTCTTCATTAAAGGTAGCAGCTCACAGGGACTACATATCCCAAGCAACTTGAACACGTGCACAGGAAAGCAACACTTGATGCAGGTTTGGAGCAAGACTCTAAGAAAGGGACTTACTTTCACAGAAAAGTGAAAGACAGTTATTGTGGCATGGCTGGTAAACCACAAGTGGAAAACCCCAAGAGAAAACATGTGTAGCTACTTAGTGATCTGAATCCATCTGTCCTGTAGTCAAATTCATTTTTAAAATCTTTTTACCTGTGAAAGCTGAAATATCTCTTTTGCTCAAAAAAACACTCCCTTTTCCCTCTTCAACAACCCTGACTCCAAATACTTTTCTCAGTAGCCCTTGTGCCACGCCAAAGGAACTCTATTAGTTGCTTTTCCAACTTGCAAAGTGAATGTTTCTCGTATTTGTAGCAAACATACACAAAAGTTTACATTTCCCCGTAAGTGTAATCTCTCTAACCTCTCTTTTTTTCCAGAAGCAGAGAAACTGCTCTAAAGAATAATTGAGCACAGCCCAACTCCACAGGGAGAGAACCCCTATAACCCCTATAGATGTTGGTTAGGCTCCTGGGACTTTTCCTCTCAATATGTGGTGGGCATTAGAACCTTCACCACGTTCATTAGATGATATGAAATGAAATCATTGTAATACAGTCACCATTTAAGGATTATTATGGATCTCCTGGAGCAAGTCCAGAACAGGGCTACAAAGATGATTAGGGAACTGGAGCACCTCATTTACAAGGAAAGGCTGAGGGAGCTGGGCCTGTTCAACCTCAAGAAAAGATGACTGAGAAGGGACTCCATCAATATATGTAAGTATCAGAAAGGAAGGTGTCAGAGGATGGATCCAGGCTCTGCTTGGTTGTTCCAAGCAATAGGACAAGAGGCAACAGGCAGAAACTGATGCACATGAACTTAAGGAAGAACTTCTGTTCAGTGAGAGTGACTGAGCACTGGAACAGATTGTCCAGAGAGGTTGTGGAGATCTCTTCCCTGAAGATATTCAAAAACCATCTGGACACAATCCTGAGTAATGTGCTCCTGGGAACCCTGCATGAGCAGGGAGATTGGACTAGATGACTTCCAATGGTCCCTTCCAAACTTACCCACTCCGTGGTTATAGAAGGCACTTCAAATGTTCTTTGAGGTGATCTCAGCCTCTGGCATTCCAGGGAATTACAGGCCACACACCAGTGGCTTCTGTGTCATCCATCATTCAAGACACACTTAGGTGACAACAGGTCAGTTTGTACAGTTACCTTCCAACACAAGAAAAACACTTCAAACACTTCATGTCTTATCAGCACCACTAACAAGCATAAGCACCGTATCCAAACCAATGCCCCATGATGCAAAATGCAAGTCCTTGGCAACTATTAATCACAAACTCTTTGTTTGTAGTTATTAGGAAAAAGCCTGTTTCCCATTTCAGTTTGGCACAGAAAATTGCTATGTAGAGATAGATGCTCATGTATCACAAGAGACTTAAGCTGACCCTCCAACTTGCCTAAAACAGGTCCCAAGAGTTTAGTAATAAATTAGTGATTTATTTTCCTGTGATTCCAAGAAGTGCTGCTTAGAATGATTTTATAGTTGAAAAGCTTGGACACAGAAGTCATGCCCAGAGTCACACAAGGCTGTAGCTGACTTGGTGCTTGCACTCACATCTCCAGCACACAGAAGCCTTCTTACACTTGCTGGACTGGAAAGTCCAGTCCTTTGCAGCATTCACCCCAGTAGGTATCATAAGTCAACAGAAGCTGTTTGAACAGGATTACATTGCACAAAAAAAAAAAAAAAGTCCATCCTTAAAAAAAAAAAAAAAAAAAAAAAAAGAAGAGAGAAAAGATCTCTCTCAGTTCAGACCAGGAATCTTTTAAGAATCTGTCAGTAAGAAGCAACACTAACACAGTTACTACGCGGACAGAGAGCGACTGCTCCTTCTTAATTTCTTCTGCCAGATCTGTGCTGTCACATGTCGCCCCTCTTAGGAGGCTGAGAGTGCAGTTTCAAAACAAGATCAAATTCACTTGCAGAAACAACTTTTACACAGCATCATGCTGAACCAGAAGCAATTCTGTTCCTCTCAGTTCATCTCTTTATCAGTCAGACTTACCACAATGGTGTTACCTAACTTGTAAAATACATCACTCCTGCAGTTAACGTAACTAAAAATAGGTCAAGGGATAAACATGCAACTGTGTTTGAACTGTAGCTGTTTTTATAAAACTAGGCAAACACAAAATATCTTTATGGCTTCATTGGGAGTCTTATTAACCAGTTTAGATTAAACTGAGTTTGATCAAACTCTGTGTCAGCAAAGTACCAGAAGTCTTCTCACAAGCCTGGTCTTTCAAAGCCTTTTCTTTGGTTTTCTATACCTATGTTCATGCTTTTATCTGGTTCTATCTGCAGCACAGAGGGTTGCTCTCTTATTTAAGATATATTATTGAATTATCTCATCAATACCATGAGAAAAATCGAGCCCTGTGTGGGTTCCTGACCTACTGAACAAGGCAAGAGGGCTGGCCAGATAAGGAGTGCCCTTTCCAGGAAAATTTATTCACTGTTTCTACACAGGGTGAGGCACGGACACAGCACCCCAGGGATGTCTCCTGCACTCCTGCCACCAGCTGACACGAAGAGAGTGCCCAGGAACTGAAGAAGATGAGGAAGTGCCTTTGGAGACAGGCAAACCTCCAGGGATCCCAGTCCAGGGTGAGCTGCAGTGCCAGGTCTCTGCTCAGAAGGTGGGGACCCCATCAGGAATCCTGGCACATCAGGGCAGAGCTCAGCTCTGAGGCGTAAAAGTGCCTCTGAGCAGGCAAAAAGTAAAAAACTAAATAAACACTGAATTTTACACAACTGCCCTGTTTAGCTTCAGATTATTTCTTTATTTATTTAAAGTTGAATTTTTCATGATGACCACGAAGCAGACAGCTGCCTGCCATGGTACTTCTCATGGAACAATTTGAACCAGCTGAGAGTGGGAACAAGAAAGAAAAGAAAACAAATTTAATATCTTTTAATCTGGTCCAGCCCAGTGACATTTGCCAGTCCTCAGTAGATGAAGCTCTGTGGGGGAAATTTTTTTAAAAATTATTATTTGAAGTAGCTCTTAAGTAGAGCTGCCATTAACAAACATATGCTCTGGTATATGCACCAGGCATGCACACAGTGAACCAGTGACTTCCATTAACATTTTTGGCAACGTGGCAACTGCTGACCAGCTTTATACAATGTGTCTTAGCTTCATTTTTTAGCAATTCCTACTGCACTACAACATATCTGGACAGAAAATTATTTCTAAACAAAGTCAAACAACAGCTCCCAGAAACAGAAAACTTGGCAAAAGAAATCCACCAGTTTCTGTAGCTCCATTTATTGCATCAATAGACCTTTAAGCCTCAGGAAACAGTAGTATATAATCCACATGTCAGAGACCTCCGCTAGTACTTTGTACTATGCCAGTTTGTGCATTAAAAGGGATTTTAATGTTCCCAGGTCACAGGTCCTCAAGCTTGAGCACCCCACAGCCAGGAAGGGTCCCAGGCACAGAGGTGTACCCCTGCCTGCATATTTTCAGAGGTTTTGGGGTGGGGTTGAAGGCAGAGAAAGAAAGGAATTGTTTGGTTTAGTCTCCTGGCAATGCTGCTCCAAACAGCTAGGAGGAAACTACTGAACTGAAGCCAGGTAAGAAATTGTCTGTGAAGCTGGAAAGGGACCCACCCTAACCCCCTCCTGTGTAGGTCTGGCTTTACAGCCCAGCTCTCTTACACAGCTCTCACTACATGTTTGACAAAACATGCTATAATCTCAACCACTGCACTCCCAGCTGATGGGATAGAGCACCCAGCCTGGCAATACTTAGTTGTATAACATATCTCTGCTAGCTGGAAATTCCATGCAAATAATGAGCATAATTTCAGAGGTGAGCACGGTGCAGTAGCAACACAGAAGTGTATTTGAGCAGAGATAACGTGCAATGGAGCGTTGTGCCAAATGCAGGTCAACTTTTGCAAGGAGATAAGAAAGCACATGGCTCCCACAAAAACCTTGTCTGAGTGGGAGGACTGTCACAGACTGGATGCAAACCTCACTGCTTTCATTCAGACTGTTTACTTTTCGGGGAGGCAAGACTGACACTCCCATCTCCCCACACCCAAGCATATCAAAGTTCATTTCGTTGTTCACTGCCAAGACAGCACAGACTTTTTTTGCCCTCTTGAATTGCTGCTCCCTGTAGGTTGGCAAAATATCAGCAACTTAATCATACCTGCCTGAATTTTCACTCTGGAAAAACTTGTGCCTCCTCTCATGAAATTGAGGTAAAAATCAGTACTTTATTTCTATGACAGCCAAGGAAATAGCTGAAGGCCTACTGCTATATGCTTCCCTGGTAACAAAATGCCTGGTCTCTCTGTGTGTCACATCCACAGAGCAGGTGTTGAGCTGTGAGGGCCTTTGGACGCTCACAGCAGAGCAGATGTTGCTGAACTAAAGACTTTTCCCACTATTAGATCAATTTCTGATAAGTCAGGGGTAAAGGACTGCAGATAGCACCTGCAGAACTGGCACCTGAATTGCTGATAATATTTACAGAATATAACCCTTCAGAGACAAAAA